TCTTCCTTTGAGTCTGTGAGTTTCTTGAGTTGGTGGTTGTGATCTCCCCCTGCCAGAATTACCTTTACCCAGTTGGAGCTGATTCAGCACAGTTGCTGAGTTTACTTTATTAGTTTCTTCCTTATATTGGGAATTCTGCCAAATGTCCTTGTGGCCTGTAAATTTGACATTCTTTGTGTCCATTATCAGTGGTACATACTTCTTCCCAAGCTTTATTAACCTCTCCTAGTTCTGAGATCATTGAAACATGTCAAGCCTCAAACCTTAACAAGGCAATTCTACTGACAACTAATTTGCCTTTTCAACGCCTGGATGTCACTTAGAGCTTGTTAGCTACTCTCTGTTTCATGGATTAAATCTCCCTTCTTGTTGATTAGGCTTGAAAGTATACAAAGATCAAACATCAAAGAACATCCTTTCTTGAGAAAATTTTACATATTCCACATTTTGCAACAGTAGACCACGAGGCACTTTTTGAAACTAGGAAGATAAAGAAAATAGCTAAAAATAGTTCTTTATAACAGTAGGCAGTTAAATTCTGGTGCAGTCTGCCACATTGTGGAGGCAGATTCAAAAAGTCGTTAGATGAATTTGTTGACAGTGGGTCCATAAATGGCTGCTAAAGGGAAGAGGTAGGAATGTAGCCTTTTGTTTCCTGCTGTAAAAGTTTAAGATGCTGAAGAATTATGAGGAGAATGGGCTCAGAAAACAGGCAGGTTCTTGTGCTTTCCTTGAGTAGTGTGTCCTTTTGCTATCTTTGTAGATGGAGCACTAGGTTGCCCAGATGTACCAGTCCTGACAGAGTAGGTTATTTCTTAATAATTTTTTTATTGCTACTTTTTCTTTGCATAATTTTTATTTATCCAAATTGCTCATAATTCAACCTAACTATGCTTTGCACTGTCTCTAGGCTTGGAGCAGAGTGCCACTCTCCTGTGAGTTGTCATCACGATCAGCTGAAGTATTAAGATGAATGAAGTCCTACTTGTGTCACATTCTCTCTGCTCACCCTTTGAAAGATATGGGGCCACTACTGGAATAACTTTATGAAATTCTTATTGATACTCCCGGTGGTCATGTGAAGGCAGGGGAGGAATTGCCCGACCCTTACAGAGGGGAGATTTTTCTCAACCCTCAGTGATTTATTTGTCTGTCAGTGCCCCAGGGAAACCAAAACCCTTTGTGTCTGAATCAGTCTGTCAGGTGTCCCGTAAGGGGATTCTTTACTGAACAGCTTCACAAGACTGGGGGGTAATTCGATTGCCCTTTTTGGGGGGACTGAGCCAAAAGCGTAAGGGAGACCCCTCAGCAGGCCTTCCAGTGTGTTATTCTGCTGCTAACAAACTGTCGGCACCTTATAAAGGACTCACTCTAACAGTTTATGGAATAACACTCTTTATTAATACAAATTGTGACAGGTTAATAAGGTTTATAGGTTGTCGGTGACAGTGTCTGACTGCAAAAATGTATTTAAAACAATCTAATGATACTATAAAGTAAGCACAAACATGAACTCCAATATAAAGCAATCTGCCAATATACTATGGAGCAAAGCACAAGCTCTAGTCCTGAAAGCAGCATTTAGCACATATAGAATAAGTTTCTTACCCAATAGTTGTTCCTATGGGGGAAAGACAGGTTCAGCCTATTAGCCAATCCCAGCAGTTTCAGTGGAGTCTTTCTCTGATTTTTCCCTATTTCCAGCTTACTTTTCTATTATTTCTTTAGGTTTAGGTGGAGCTTGAGTGACTCTAGTCATAAGTACTTAATTGGGTAGTCATTCTTGGCATCTATCTCCTTTGGTGGACAGATACAGCATGGTCTTTGAACTACAAAGTATCACCATGTTCCCCTTCCTGCAGGATGTTTATGGAGGGAGGCCTTCATGCTACTCCCCTCTCTGTTGCATCCTCCATAACAGGTGCTTATCATTGTTAAGGGAACTTTCATAGGACATGTTGACCATGTTCCATCTGGGAAGCGGCAGCTGCATTTTACCCTTTAATTCTTATTCTCCTTTAATTTTTCACCCTATCCATTATTCCACACTGGCAAATCCCTGACATGGCAAAACAATAGCTAGAATGAAGAAATTTAAGCCTCCCAGACTTAGTCTGCAGCGGTGGTGTACATTGTGGTGTTTTAGTGTGGTTCTTTTTAATAGCTGCTGAATTGTAATACTCATTGTAATAAAGAGCTCTCTAAGTGTATCCCTTTGTGGTTTATATTTTTTTAAAGCTACTTTTCACTGGGGTAGCAGATCAACTGGTGCTTTCTGACAGCTTCTAGAGGAGCTGGATTGAGCACATGTCTGTAAGGGAACTGATTAAAACTAAGTATAGTATCTGGAAATGTCTGATTAGTTAGGTCTGAGCTTAGAGTCATTGGGAAATGGGAAAAGAAGGATTTATATTTGTTTTTCCCTCTATGTCAAAATAGTATGAGAGTTCAAATATAAAGAAAAACTGAAATGGATGGGGCTTCTAAATTCTTTCCTTCTACAAGACTTAAATTACTCAAATGTACGTTTAAAACAGAAAGGCAAATATTGGTTTAAAACAAAAGAACACCAGAGAATACAGAAAATGATACATAGATCAGTCCTAAAGGAGAGAATACTGCAAAATTGGACACCTCATCACAAGGAGCATTGTAAAGCTGAAAATTTGTATAAAAGCATTGAGAATGTTTGGAGGGCCTGGAAGAATAGGCAATTTACCTTGATGGTAAATGACACCCTACTGAAGTGTTTTATAAGGCTGACAATCAATAGAGTATTCTGGGGCACTGAAAGGTCAAGTTTGAAGCTAAAGAACAGGAAATATGTATATTATGTGTCAGTGAACTCCATAAATGGGGAGAACTGGTGTGTCAATACACAGTGATAGTGATACTTGGTTGCCCACATCTTTCAACACTGAATTTAATGTTCAAGTATTATACCATCAATTGCTAGTGTTTAAAATGGGATCTTTAAAGCAAAAGAGGCTATCTGCTTTGGTTTGGTCTTTTTTAATTTCTTGCATATGCTTCTGAAGCATCTACTGTTGGCCTTACTCAAATGTTGAAGTCTTTATAAAGCTCAGAGTGACTGCTGTTTCCTGTTTCAGAAACCTAGTGTGAGTGTTTTGTAAAACAGCTGAGGCCATGCAAGCCTCCTGTTTCATCTCTGGAGTTAGTGTACTGCGTTAGGGGTCTAATGTGTTTCACTTCTAAGCTTGCAAACAGTTCAGAACATGTGAAAAAGGTAGTGTAGGACTGCTTAATTTGAAATGGATCAGTTTTTACTTGGTTATCTAGCTGAGTCTGTGTGGAAAGGTATTGACACTGGTGCTGGGGCGGTGGTGGTGCCACAGGGAAGAAAGGAAGGAGGGCTATGCTTCCTGTAGCAGGAAGCTGTTGTGTTGGCTTGCCTCCCTATGAAACTGTACCCCGAGTGCCCTAGTGTGGTGGTTTTAATCTAGGCCTTTCCTGGTTACCAGTTTGTAACCAAGGAAGGGGCAATGTTCCCAGTATTCCATACGATTTTTACGTAAATCGTGGTGTAAATAAGGAGGAGCGGCCTTCGTTCTTCTCTTCCAGCGAGGTTCAGGAACAGTGGGTCCCTGCGTTGGTCTCACTTATTTAAGGCTGAGGCCTGCAGCATCCACTGGCCTGC